GGCATGCACCACCACCACCACTGCCAGGCAAAAAAGGCATTTTTTTTTTTTTTTGGACTTGAAAGAAAACCAATAGAAGTCTAAAGAAAACACACTCTTAAAGAGACAGAATAAGGCCGGTGGTGGTGGTGGTGGTGGTGGTGGTGGTGGTGGTGGTGGTGGTGGTGGCAGCGGCGGCGGCGGCAGCAGCAGCGCATGCCTTTAATCCCAGCACTTGGGAGGCAGAGCCAGGCAGATCTCTGTGAGTTTGAGGCCAGCCTAGTCTACAGAGTGAGATCCAGGACAAGCACCAAAACTACACAGACAAAAAAAAAAAAAAAAACCTGGAATAAAAAAGGAAATAAGCAAAGCTGAAGCTGAGCTCAGTGGCAAAGGACTTGCCTAGCATGCTAGAAACCAAGTCTGTTCCCTTCCCCAACACCACAAAAGATTAGACTCAGATGTGGGTTGGGGATATAGCTCAGTGGTGGAGTGTTTCCTTCGGCTGCATCGAGAGGGGCAGAACAGCAGGGGTGACCAGGTCGAAGGGCCAGCCCCTCTGTCTAGATGAACTGCCCAGCTCTGCTCCTGCACGCAGTTATTGGGAGGGCTCGGCTCTGGCATAAAGCTGCACTCTCTCGCCCACTCTGTCCCTATTCCTCTCCAGGCCCAGCCCTCAGAACAAGAGTCCCAGGAAGAGGGTGAGCAATGAAAAGCTGGGGCTGGCCCTGGGGAAGGCTGCCAGGGTGGGAGGGAGGGGAGGAAGAAGGGGAAACCTTCAGGGCCCCTTGTCTCCGCAGGCGAAAGCTACACTCAGACCTAAGAAGTCTGCACTCAAGAAATGAGGAGCTCACCTTGGTCTCTCCAGTGTCCACCAGGAGATGTCCTACCAGCTGTGCCCGGTGCAGCTGGCCAGCCCCTCCACCTGAATCTAAACGTAATAAAGTGTTGTGGGGGCCACACGGGAGCCCTACAGCCCGGCCCTTCAGTTTCAAGAGGCTCTTGGAGAAGAACCCCCACAAGCCAGCCTAAGCCACAATAAAATTTGCATGATCAGAACCTCCCTCAGCCTTTTCCCTGGGTGGGTCTCCTTGCAGCTGCGCTACCTCATGTGCCCAGCAGAGGGCAACCGCCAGCAAGAAACTGGCCCCATGTTTCTCTTCCTAGGTTTCCAGCCCAGGCTTGAGTGGAGGCCTAGGCATCTGGCCTCAGCCCTGGCATCAGTGAGCTGAGGCAGATGAGGTTTAAAAGGACAGGACTCTAGGACCCAACCAGCTTTTGCTACCAGGAAGGGCCTGACCCAGGCCCAAACTCTGTTCCGTTTCTCTGCGCTTCTCAGGCAATTGTCACCAATGGGACACCCACTGGGGGACATCCTAGGCTACTACAGTTGAGACTAAGGCTCATATGACACTTATCAGGACACAGGCCTCTAACAGGGTGAGGCTGCCGAGAGTTGGAGAACAGTGGATGACTCCTGCGTGGCTCTGACTCTCTGGCCTCATTAGCATGCTGAGGTAGCTTTGGAGCCTGCTCGCTGAGGGGTGGCTAAGACTTCATCCCTGATTTGAGTGGAACACAAGATGATCCCAGAGGGGGAACCTGTACTAGGCTCTTCCTGCCCGACCCCAGCATCCCTAGAGGCCAGGCCAGAAACAAGCCGGCAAGAGCTGCCCAGGACCCCCACGGATGAGTCCCAGGAGGTCGATTCATGTCCTGTTGAGCTCCTTGGCCCTTGGCGCAAATGATGCTCATCCAGCCTGGTTCACTTGGTGTCAGTCTCAGGTACGGGAGAGCCAAGCTAGGTGCCCACCTCACTCCCCTTCAAGTCACTGGCAGCCTGGTGGTGGCACAGAGCCAACCGCCATGATCTCGGTCCCTGGAAAATGCTTTGGAGGAAGGGAAACGGGGAACTGAGAGGTCTGAAGAGGATCCTGGGAACAGGCAGCTGACGTGAAGGGGATGGGGAGCTCGAGAGACCGTTCCTGTGAATGCAGCTGGTCTAAAGCAGGAGAAGGCTCCAGGCGTCCATCCTGAAGGAAGGCTGCCACGGCAGCAGTGGCTCGAAGCCCAAGCTATGCATGGTGTCCCCAGACTCGCCCCTTGAACCATCACAACAACCACTCCCGGAGGTGGGTGATGTCAGCTCCGCTTCTTAAATGAGAAAACCAAAGCAGAGCCTGCACCTAAGAGAGGGAGCGGCAGGGGGAGCTAGAGAGCCTGGCCGCAGAGCTCTAGCTTTTGACCTCTCTGACGGGAGGACTTCCTGCCAGCATGCAGGAAATCTTGTACGCTGAGCGCAGGGGCTAGGGTGCAGTCGTCTGTGTGAGGGAAACTTATCGATGGCTAGGTGCAGACAGAGCAGGGGCTTCTTCCCTCCTGCAGCCCCGGGCAAGTCCCTACATACAGGGGCACTTAAATACACCAGATAGGCACCCGGGACTGACCAACAGGCACAGCAGTGGACCACCTGACCGACGGGATTTGCAGGTCTGAAATAGGGTCAGATCTCAGTCCACATTGCTAGGGGTGCCTTTTGCCCTGACCCACCCCACCCCACCCCACCCCGTGTTCCTACAGGAAAAGGATGCCTAGCCTGAGGCCGGTGGCAGGTCTGCAGATAGGCTGTGCTTTCCTGCAGCTGGGCTGTAGGGCACGGGTGTGAGACAGCCCCAAATGGAGGTGTTGGACTTGGCACTAAGGGGTGGAGATTAACTAGAATGTTGGTAGCCACCTCTCACACTGCTTAGCACCTCTCAATGCCCCCCATAAATGTTCACAAACCCTCCCTCCCCCAACTCCACTCCATCAGGGGAGAAAGTCTGCCAGAGGTTAGGTAAACTGAGTCCCCCTTCCCCTCTTTGGCAGCATGAGTCCTTTGTCTCAACTGACGTAATAGCAGCCATTTCCTTTTTCTAAAAGAGAACCTGGAGCCAGAGAAATGAACTTTTTTTTGGGGGGGGGGGTGAGGGGGTTGGTTTTTGTGTAACAACCCCGACTGTCCTGGATCTTGTTCTGTGGACCAGGCTGGCCTCGAACTCACAGAGATCCGCCTGCCTCTGCCTCCCGAGTGCTGGGATTAAAGGCGTGCGCCACCACCATTTAGCAAGAAATGAACTTTTCGAGTCACACAGGCAGGGATGGAGGGCAGGTCCAGAACCCAGTCCCCATCCCCCACTCTCCAGGCTGCCTCCCACTTGTGGTTGGCCACTGCCTCCCCCAAGACAGAAAGAGCAGACCTGAAAGCCAGGCCTGAAAGTGCCAGGCAACAAGGGACAGGGAGTCAAGGGTTCCTCACATAAAGCAGGCTGCCCCATATCCCTCTGGTACCAGACTCTGGCCGAGCCTCAAGACCAAATTCCACTGCTGGTATCTGTTACCATGGAGACTTAGGCTGCACTAAGGGGGCCAGCCAGCGAGTGGCACCAGGCCCCGTCCCCAGTGACAGGGAACAGGTGCGCAGGCTCAGAAGCCTTGAGCAGTTCTGCCTCCGGGCGGGTGAATGAGCGCAAGGCAGGAGGTATTGATGGCCCGTGCCTGTCTTCTGTGTCCAGCCGACGCGATGATCACCATTGAATTCCAAGTCTCTAGCTGTCTCCTCCATGCACCTGAGCCCTCTTACCTGTGAGCAGACTGTCTCCTCCATGCACCTGAGCCCTCTTACCTGTGAGCCCACCCGATGCCTTGGATTGAATTCAGGTGGAGTGGCCTTTAAACACCCTGCCTGGAGCTTTAGTGAAACATTTCACTATTAGGATAAGAATGTGTACTGTATCAAGCTGATGAAAGAAAATGCTGGCCGTACTTTCAGGAGGGGAGGCTAAAATCTTTTTAGACTATGGATTAGCCTATAGAAAAATGTCTGCCGTAAATCAAACAGTGAAGGGGAAGATGAATAGAAATCTTACATATACAACTTAAGTAAAACGTAACTCTCTGAACAGATTAAGATAGACCTCTTCTGTGTTCCAGAATCTAATCAATGTAGAATTCAGCTATCATTTGGCTTAAAAGGGCTTATTGGGAAATGTTATCATTTATACTATTTTCTACAGAGAAAATATTTTACTGTTTAAAATATATATAATATATATACATATATACATACATACATATAAACACCCTGCCTGGGAGCTAGTGAGGTCATATGAGTCTAATGGAGAGGGGGGGGTCAAGTTTCCCTGAAGCAGGCAGAGACTGGAGTGAGTCTCCAAAGATCACAAGAATGTGGAAGGTGGAAACGCTGCAGGGTGGGAGGTAGAGGTGTGTCCAGCAGGCCTGAGAGGTGAACAGGCTGGAGCTGCTTCCAAGAACATCAAACTGTGTTGCTGCACTGTACCGTGCTGGGCACCGGGTCCTTGGCCCCTTGGCCCAGCCACGAGGTAACTTGCTAGACATGGAGTATCATTTACCTTCTAGTTTTAACAGGATTTCTCTGTGTAGTCCTGGCGGTCCTGGAATTTGCTCTGATCTCAAACTCAGAGCTCTGCCTGCCTCTGCCTCAAGAGTACTGGGATTAAAGGCGTGCACAGCCACTGCCCAGCTCTGCCTTTTTTTTTTTTAAACAATTTATTTATGTGCAAATTTATTTATCTTTATTTTATGTGCATTGGTGTATGCATGTATGTGTGAGGGTGTCAGATCTTAGAGTTACAGACGGTTGTTAGCTGCCATGTGGGTGCTGGGAATTGAACCTGGGTCCTCTGGTAGAGCAGTTGGTGCTCTTAACCACTGAGCCATCACTCCAGTCCCCCCCCCCCCGACTTTTTTTTTTTTTAAAGATATGGTTTCATATCCCAGGCTGGCCTCAGGCTTGCTTTGTAGCCAAGGTTGATGATGACCTTGAACTGATCCCCCAACTGCTTCCAGCCTCTGGAGTACTGGGATTACAGGCTTCAGCGACACCTGCTTTAAGTAGTGCTCAGGATGGGACCCAAAACTTCATAAATGTTAGGCCAGCCTTCCACCAGCTGAGCTACATCCCAGCCAGTCCCCAATTCTAACTTTCTTTAAATTTGATTCCAAATCCCTCAACTCCCCCTGGTAATTCCCACCTTCTCAAACACCTCTTCCAGTTCACTCCCAGGCCCCCTGCAGAGGCATTTTGAGTCTGCAGAAGAGAAGGTGGAGCTCTAAAGGCCCCCCTGCTTTAGAGCTGAGCTGAGCCTGTGGTTGGGGAGCAGGGGAAGGTATACTGCTGGCTTGCTTGGGGGGGGGTGCAGAATGGCAGACCACTTTGTGGATTGCTGGAACTCGGAGAGGTGAGAAGGAAGCTGGAGAGTGTCACCTTCCCAGTCAGCTCTTTAAACGGCAAATAAATCCGCCTCCATGCTGCTCTGAGAACTCCAGGGAGCCAGAGCTCATTCAGACCCGTAGTTCGCCCCAAATCGCTCCTCCTTCCGGTTCACCACCCGCTAACCTTTCTGTAAAGAGAGAACTAGTCACCAACTCTCAGAACCTCGGCTGTCTGTCACATTCCAATCCAGTTAAACCCGTCCAGTTCCATGGCGCACACCTTTAATCACAACGCTAGGGAGATGGAGGCAGGTGGGTGTCTGAATTGGAGGCAAGCCTCGTCTACAGTGAATTTCAGGCCAGTTGATGCTGCATAATAAAACCCTGTCTCAGAAAAGAAAGAAAGGAAGGAAGGAAGGAAGGAAGGAAGGAAGGAAGAAAAGAAAGAAAGAAAGAAAGAAAGAAAGAAAGAAAGAAAGAAAGAAAGAAAGAAAGAAAGAAAGAAAGAAAGAAAGGAAGAAAGAAGAAAGAAAAAGAGAACTCAGTATGGTCTCTGAGCCCTATAGTAATAATAAAGCCAGTGGCAGGCTAGACCTTGGGGAATGAGGTCCCAACTCCAGGGAACATAAAGAGCTAGATTCTGGAAATGTGGCTCCTTCAATCACCAGCTGGCTTATTCTGAGCAAATTACTTCCCCGTGTGCCTGTTTCCTATCAGCACACCGCAGTTAATAGCTGGCTTGGGTACCCAGCTACGCGGGACTAGGGGTCATGTGCCATACTGCTGGGCACCTCATCCCAACTGCTAGGGGACG